TCTTCCACGTGGGTAATGCGCAGGTGACCAGGAGTAGTTTGTAGAAGCGTCGATGATAGCTTCAGAGTGTTTTATTTAGTTTACTACATTAGTGGTGTCTTGCTCTGATATGTAACATTGGATTGGGGACACTATGTTTTCGAATGATGTACTTTTATTAACAAATTTTTATGATGTTATCGGATGTTAAATTGTTTTAATTATACCTCTTGATGAGATTATAATATTTGAGTTTCAAAAGATGCAGTGAATTTGTTTTATGAAGATGATTTTTACTGCGAAGATTTTAAATGAAATGATTATGTATAATTAAATGCATGTTAAACATTGATGTAACTTGTGTTACGTAGCAGAATTGTATTTATGTTATTTTCTATGAAGTGTGACACTCTTGAGTGGTGATTTTATTTGAATTAATTCGTAAATTATATGAGAATCACATGTGGGGTTAGAGGGGTGTTACATGTGCCATCCTACACTCCATAGCAGAATGGAATTGGAGAAAGGAAGAATTGAACCATTATGAATATGGCAAAAAGTGTGTTAAAAGGAAAGCATTTACCTAAAGAGTTTTGGGGTGAAGTTATGTCGACTGCAACATACATTTTGAACAGATATCCGACGAAGAAGCTAAAAGGAATTACGCCAGCAGAATGTTGGTCTAGTGTAAAACCTAGCTTGAGTCATATGAAAGTGTTCAGATCTATAGCACATAGACATGTGCCAGATATGTTAAGAAGAAAACTTGATGACAGGTCAAGCCAAATGATTCTAATAGGATATCATTTGGCTGGTGGATACAAGTTGTTCGATCCAGTGACCAAGTAAGTAGTGATCAGCAGGGACATGATCATAGATGCACTTAAGGAATTAGATTGGACTAAAAATGTAACCAAAGATTCAGTGAGAATCTTATGTGAAAAATCAACCACTAAAATCGAAAGAGAAGAAGTTCGACAAGAAGAAGTTAGAGGTGAAACAGGCCTAAGAAGACCTCAAAGAACAAGACGCGTGCCTGCAAGGTTGCAGGATTGTGTGATTATATCAGATGACATGGTCGACATAATAAAGGTGAGCTGGTAAATTATGCTTTCTATTCAGATGTCGAGCCATTCAATGTTTCTAAGGCATTGAAGGATTCAAAGTGGGTGAAAGCTATGAATGAGGAATCAAATTCCATCGAAGTCAACAACACTTGCTCACTTGTCAAATTTCCTCAAGGCAAGGAAACTGATGTCAAGTGGGTATACAAGGTGAAGTTGAATCCCAAAGGGTAAGTAACTCAACACAAGGCTATAGTTATGGCGAAAGGATTTCTTTAGAAAGAAGGAATCGACTTTGATGAATTTTTTACACATGTTGTTAGGATCGAAATAATCAGGTTGGTTGTTGGTCTAACAGAAATGAACAGTTGTCACATATGCCAGATGGATGTGAAATGTGCTTTCCTGAATGGCGCATTATACAAAGAAGCTTATGTTGCATAACCAGTTGGGTTTATGAAACAAGGCGAAGAAAGAAAGGTATACATGCTCCCTAAAGCCCTATATGGACTTAAATAAGCTCCAAAAGCTTGAAATAAGAAGATTATAGTTTCCTAAGGGAGAATGGATTTATGAAGTGCACAAATAAGAGTCGAGTATATGTAAGAAGAAGCAAGAGTGAATTACTTATACTATATCTCTATGTCGATGACTTGTTGATAACAGGTAGTTGTAAGAAAGAGATCGAAGACTTTAAAGGTGATCTTAGCAAGGAATTTGAAATGTCTGACCTGGGCGAAATTTCATATATCCTTTGCATAGAATTCTATAAGAGTAGTATAAGTTTGATGATGCATCAAAGAAGATATGCAAGTGAAATACTCAAGAGATTTGAGATGGAAGAATGCAACTAGACTTCGACACCTGCTGAACCAAGACTGTAACTGTCGAAAGACTCAGACAAAGATGATGACGACCCAACACAGTACCAAAGACTTATTGTGTAATTAAGGTACATTTGTTACACAAGGTCGGACTTAGCATTCAGTGTAGAAATGGTGAGTAGATTCATGCAGAAGTCAAAGGTATCCCCCTTAGCAGTAACAAAGAGGATAATGAGGTATCTCAAAGGAACTCTCGACTATGGCATGTCATTTCCTGCATTTGATAAAGAAAACGAATGCAAGTTAATGGGTTACACCAACTCAAGTTGGTGTAGTGATGTTTAGGATCAAAAATCCACAATTGAGTATGTGTTTATGCTAGGTGGTGCATCAGTTACTTAAAGTTCGAGAAAAGAACCTGTAGTGGCACTATCTTCATATGAAGAAGAATACATAGCTGATTCTCTTTGTGCATGCCAAGCAACATGAATGGTGAATTTGGTCGAAGAGATCACAAAGAAGAATCATGAAGCAATTACCATGAAGATCGACAACATGTCAGCTATCAATCTAGCAAAAAAAATCCAATAGCACATGGCAGAAGCAAACACGTGGAAATGTGGTTCCATTATCTTCGAGAGCATGTAGTAAAAGGGAAGATAAACTTAGAACACTACAGAACTGAGAATAATATTACAGACATCATGACGAAAGGTATGCAGGTTGAAGTGTTCAGAAGACTAAGAGAAATAATGAATGTAGATAGTTTAGACGCAATGAATTAGGTGGTGTTTTAAGAATGTAATTCTTTGTGTTGAAACTATGTGTATGTTGAAATTGGTGTGTGTGTGTGTGTGTGTGTCGAGTTGTTTAGCAGACAAAGTGTCGAAGGAGGTAGCCTCAATATAGGATTTCGACTTAGGCCTAAATAAGTATTTTGGACTTTTGTGGTTTTGGGTTTTGACTTAGGGAGCAAGCTAAATTAAAACTATAAATAGAGGGAGTAACCTCTATTCTGTAATAACTTGCAGTTGCATAATAAAATCACAAGTTTGTGAACAGAGAGAAATTCTGTAGGAAATATTCTTTTTCTTCCCCTATCTTGTTCAAACCCTAATCTTTTCTTCTTAGATTTTTTCTTTTCTCTATTGTTAATTTATGCGCAGAATAATCTTGCAACCAAGCTTGGTTGATTCACTCAAGTGAAGAGTGAAGAACAGTGGGTTTTGATCGAGTTGATTGAATCTTGTTCATCAAGATAGATTGGAATTCTTCATAGGTTTGGTGTAATTACCAACAAATAGTACTCTTGATAGACCCACTTTTGTAAATGTGGAAGCGAAGGCCACTTCTTATGAAATTCTATACAAAATTCTTAGAGCGCTCAACAAACCAGGATTGACGTGTCGGGCCTTTAATGCACCAACTTTTTGAGAATACATCTAAAAAAAGTTTTTGTGTGTTTTGATGACTGAAATAGAGTTCAAGACTACGATTCACTCTAGTAAAGTATGAATATTATACACTATGCACAATCTTAAAAGAAACTTTCGAGTGATTTTTTAAATTAAAGTGGGAGATTGTTGAAATGCTAAATATACACGAATTGAAGAAAAAAATCTAAGTCGCAATATTGCTTAGTTTTTTTGGAACACCATATGTGTGTAAATTGAAAAAATTTCAAGTCTCACATTGCTTCTTTAAACACATTGCTTCTTTAAACACATTGGTTAGTTTCCAACATTATATAAAGAATGTTCATATTTCTTTTGAAATCACTTTGAGTTATCGAGCATTTTTTTACCCTTTCTCTATTAATGTTACTGAATTATCGAGCACTTCTTTTCTTCTCTCCTTTCTACCCTTTTTGAAATTTATCTATTCGGAGAAATTTTATCTCTTACAATTTTTTTGTCCCCTTTAATAATTAAGACCGATCAAAATAGCATAATTCCTTCGATTGTTTATTTGAAAGTCGGAGTGGTCTTTAACCATATTGAGTGGTATAAGTATAAGAGTAATGCTATTTTTACACCTAAATCTTACATCAATACTTACACCCAATACTATTCACCGTATTTATACGGTGAATAATATTATTTAAATAAAAAATATATTTATGAACATTAATATATTATTATAATAATATTTTTTTTACTTTTTTAATAGTAAAATAAAGTTGGTAAATGAAATAAATAAAATTGATTAATGAAATGATGGAGTTAATTAATAAATGTTTAAATATTAAAAATAATTTAGTAATAAAACAAAATTGATTAATATAAAATAAAAAATTAGTTAATAAACATTCGGATATTAAAAATAATTTTTAATAATAAAATAAAATTGGCTAATAAAATTTAAAATATTAGTTAATAAAATTCTAAAATTAGTTAATGACACAATTTTATATGAATATCTACTAAATCTAAAAAAATCATTTTAAAAAAATTTATTTATTATTATAATAATATTTTACTGTACATGTTATGTTCATAAAAATGTTTTTTATTTAAAAAACACATACAGTGAATAATATTAGGTGTAAGTATTATTGGTGTAGGATTTGGATGTAGAAATAACATGTCTCTTATTAAAATCTGAAACTCCTTCCCTCAGGCATTTATACTTTTTCCATAGTATTGTTTCCCATGTTTCACATGTTGAAAGAAAGTTGCAAACAGATTACAACTGATCAAATATAATAGATTCACCTCTAGGAATTGCGTGCCTAATCAAAGATTAATGAGGTAATACATCCATTTATTTTCTTTTGTGATGGCATAATAATATATCAACTTTGACAAGTACATGGAATTCAATCATATGTTTTACACTAACAGTAGATTGCACTCCCATTTATATGAACAACAAAACTTCCATTTATGCATGCATTGCTAATCCATTCAGACATCGAATTATTGTAACGAAGTTTAGAGACAAGCCAGAGATTGCGAGAAGTACCATATTACTAACCCTGCAAATATATAGATAGATACGTAGGGAAATAGTGCACTAGCAAGTTAAACTCATGACAGCCAAGCATCTTATTATACAAAGTAACATGATGCACTCAAATCATCCCAGAGCTGCAATTACCATTAGAGATAGCTGAACCCCGTCATAAAGCAAATCAGTAAATATAGTCTGGCAGCTGAAGAGGGAAACGTGCAACTGTAGCTAGGAATGGATCTCCTCTTGGGTCTACCAATCTGAAATAAGACGACAAACAAAGACGATAAACATTAGCTCATCGAGTCATCGACAATAGCAATTGAACTTACTAAGTGTGAAATGCATCGAGAATGATATTCACACCCCCATACCATCCTTGGAAAGATTAAGGTTTGAATAGTGGGCATATCCCAAATGTTTCATTTATTTAAACTGAATCCATACATCACTGGCGAAACTAACTTCTCACCCATTCACGAAAAGAAGATAAAGATATAGATTTAATGATACTAAATACTGCCAATAACTAGTAATGAAATCCTATTTATCATATAGTGAAGAAGGTAAACAAGTGATAATAACCCTAGTAGTTGACTTGACACCATATGGATGTCAAAACATCATTGACCGCAAAGTTCGGAAAATCTCATGCTTCCCAGCCCAATCCATCATTCATAACCAACTTACCCGGACTTCCAGAAGTCGCTACCCAAAGTCCTAACAAACAACTATCTGGAATTTTCTTCCAGTGAAACTTTAATTTCATCCCAAGAGTTCAACCAGGTATCTTCACCCCCTACCCGCCCATAGCTCAACAATAACATACAGTACAACTTTTTAGTAAGACTAAAAAAAAAACAGTTTGTGCATAAAAAAAAATGCATTTCATTTTTGCAGAAATGATAAAAGGGAGAGAATTACTCATCTCAGAATATGCAACTGTGTTCTGTTTTTTATTGACTGTAACAAAACGGTTACAAGAGTTTATATAGGAGTTTATAAAACTGGTTATAAAAAGTGGTTATGGATATAACCGGTTTCTTAAAAACAAAACCATTTATATGGATTGGTTATCATAACAGTTATGATAAATGATTATAAATTGGTTATGGATTGGTTATCTCAAAAATTCAACCATAAGCATCCCTATCCTACAACAAAGTAGTCGATTCCGGATAGCGGCGTGGAGCGGCCAACCCCAATAAGGGGATAGCAAGACGACCGCTATTTAATAATTTTATGGAAAAATTACATGAGCAATAATTATAAACATACCTTTAATGTAACATTAAACAAATAACTAAAAAAACCCTAAAATATTTACAAATAAAAGCACAAGACTTATAAAAAAACACTCAAAAACCAACAAGTCTTAATCAAAATTCTTAATCAACGTCAACAATCAAAACATCACATCCCAAAATTCAAACCTAAGTACTAAATATTAAAATTCAAACTATCATAGAAATCAAATATCATCATAATTGAAGTCTTTAAAGCAAAAATATCATCAAACAAGTCTTCTTCAACATATTCCTCTTCATCCTCCACCCTATTATTTTTTTCAAACTCCATTTTCTTCATGTGATAAAAATAAAACAGAGAAGGCAAAGGATATGGTTGAGTCTCAACTAAAATTTGATTGAAAACTCCAAAATTACCCTTAAAACATTTTAAAATTAAGGGGTGATTTTGGTTTTTCAGAGGGAAAAAGGATAGCGGGACAGAAAACGCTTTGGGCTGGGAACCACTCCGCCCCCGCGATTTACCCTATAGCGGCCTCTATAGTGTTATGCACCTCTAACACTCTTCCCATAGTGGCCGCCGCTATTTACCCTATAGCGGCCTCTATAGTGTTCTACACCTCTAACACTCTTTTCATAGTGGTCGGCCTCCGCTCTGCTCCACTATAGCGGGATAGCGCCGCTATTAACTATTCTGTCCTGCACTCAACAAGGGGTTAACATACCACCTTGTAACTAAATCTAACATAATACTAACTAACACTAACAGACTAGAGTTAAAAGTAGCAAGCTAATTATTACTCTCACACAATAGTACGTCATAGAAAATTCCTCAAACCCCAACAAAAAGACTTCTATGATGTCTAACTAATCAAAGATAATGAAATCAAGTGGGAACGCCAACAATGATAATAATAAAAGAAAAGCATACCTTCCAGGTACAAAGGTAAAGGAACCTTCAACGGAACCCGATGATGTTGGTAGAGATGCACAACTCTGATAAACAAATTCTTTATCACCTGGTCGCAAAAGTGGGTACTGCAAAGACATTTACAAGAGTGAGTAGTTTTACCACTTTATTCAACTACAAATACTTGCATTAGAAAATATGAAGACAATTTTCTCTGTTTTCTAATAAAAGTTCTAAGATGCACTTGCATAACTACAAATAATAGACCTTAGCTCTTTAGAAACTAGAACCACCAAGTAATCAGTACAACTACACTGTTTATGAGCCTTGCAAGGTTGAACTCGAGGAAGACTCGTCTGCTAGCAAGCTATAAATCACCAGTTCAACTGAGCTATCATTGAATATAGTCAATCAATACATGCACCAAACATCAAAGCTCAAGAATTTACGAGTCTTAGGGTTGAAATATTAGCTCGTGGCAAGGCAACTGTAGATTGCCATTGCATGATTTTCTAGATATCCTAAAACTGATTCCCAGATGGAAGAGAAATTTAAACTTAAGATTGTATAACTTAACACAATAGAATACATGTAATTTTTTCATTAGAATCAGACAATCAGACCTTGATCAGTTAGAATGAACTTGGATCAACTTTTTCATTTAAATTTTGGTCTTAAAATGTGCAAAATCCAAGAGAAGCCGATGCAACTAAGTTAATGCCCAAGCATCGAGGACCTAAATAGCTAATATCTTGCCAGACATTTCAAGACAATTGATGCTGCTGAAATATAGGTACTAGAAACTAATCCTGGAAGATAAACCATGATAGTCTAACATAAAATCAAAGATATTTTATATATTTTAAATAGATAATACAGCATAAAAAATAAATACATTAAGGAAAAGGCTATTGGAGGGAAAAGGGAACTTATACCATTCCTATAACAGCTTCTCCATCAACATCAGATACTACAACGTCATTAGCATGAATGATCCAGTGCCTCCAATAAAGCTGGCAAGATCTGTAGGACATTCCATTGATCACGCATCCTTGAGGTTGTAAGGACAGGCGGATGGAATAAGAAAACAGGTACTTCTGACCCTCATCTTGAAGATCAGCCAACTCAGGGATAACCAACGCAGAGGCACGAACCTCGAGAAATAAAAAATACTTATAAGTTTTCAATTGAAAATTAATCACGAATAAGCAATACTCATAAAAGTATCCAGCGGTCATGAGAAACTGAGCAAGAAAAAGCGAATTGGAATATCCCATGCAACGCCAATAAGCAAAAATCACTAACTGTTCTCTATTCAATGCAGCAAATCTCATAAACTTTGGTACAATATAAATGGTAAAACATAAGGGAGGCATAGTATAACATGCCAAGTTTTATATGACATGACAATACAAATCCCATGCATCTCAATAGGACTAACAAAACTCAATCAAACATTATCACATAATTGTTCTTTTTCATGCTCTAACAAAGCTAATACATTACACACTCTTACCTGCACACCATTGGTTACAGCAGTTGAACAGAGAGGCAATTCTTCTGGGAAAAGATTAATGCTTCTGGCATTTCCTTCATCAAGCAGTTTGATAAAGCCACGTTGTAAACGGCGACCATGTTCTTCTAACCACAGTAGCATGGCATCCTGTATCTCTTCGCTGTCCAACTCATGATGCAAACTAATCAAATTATGAGGAACACATGGCATCATGTCTCTATTGGTAAGAAGATTCCTGGTTCCAACATACAGTTGACCATTGGTACAGTTTAAGAAAAACAACTTCGCACTATATGTGGACGAAGCAGCCGCAAGAACATACTTAGATCTTCTTAAAAACCCTAAGTTCTGCGAAATTTGCTGAGTCTCTTGGATTACTTGACTAATAGGTAATAAATAAACATTCACCAAATGATCATAGAAAGAGTAACCTCCAATTATTCCCAAACTAGTACCAAAGGCGTTGGTATCAGGATCTAGCTTTTCGATTTCTTGCCCGTTATGAAAACGGTAAAGGATCCTCGTAGGAAGAGGCAATTTAACATGTAAAACATCCTCCAACTCTTGAATCTCGGCTTCCGACGCACCTTGACAAAGAGTGTCCTTAGCTTCGGGAAAATTATTGGCGAGCCAGGTTTTTATATTGTCCCAACACCTTTTCACACGCTTAACAAGAGACCAAGGATACATAACAAAAGCTTCTCTCCATGTTTGATAAGCTTCCTGCACAACAAAAAAACATAGTGTGTTTAATTTCTAGCTGTAACAATACTAATCAGCACCATCTCTTCAAATTGAAGACTGTTTAACACCCATCTCCGGAACAGTTTTTGTTAAACAACATTGAAAATCTGTTACAAATCTGTTACGAATCTGTTACAAATCAGTTACGAATCCGTTACATGTCTATAACTATTGAAATTTGGAAACAAAAAGTGTAATTATTAGTAGCAATAAATGAAATGAAGAAAAAGGATTAAGAAAGAGTGACCTTGAAGGAAGGGAGAGGGTTTCCGAGATGATCAATCGGTTGAGTGAGAGAGAGTTCAGTGGAACAGATTTTGAACCAGAGAGTGTCGTCGGAAGTGAAAGACCTAAACCTGTTGCTGACACAGGAAATTGTGGCAATGTCTTCGGGTTTTAGATTTTCCATAATCATGTGAATCGCTAAATCTCCAACCGATTCCAAATCCATCTTTCTGATCAATCGCTCTTTCTTTCGCCAAAACGTCTCTTACTCACCAATGCGTTCCGCTTCTCTTATTCTACATATTAATTTATACTCGGCATAAATAAAAGTTTACATGCTTCTTATTTTATTTTTATCTATATACACATTTAAACGTACCTCTCTCTGCATGTTTCGGATATGTATATTTAAAGGCATTATTTTTTTCACTTTTAAACTTAAAATGTTCGGATTTTAAATTTTTAAGGTGGTTTCGGATATTCATATCCAAAACATTCTCATATGTGAGTTCGGACGTACATATCTGAAACTTCTCTTTTCATATTAGAATGTAGCATGGTTACTCATACTAACTATTTCATTCATTTTCTTTTCTCCCATAATCAAAACCCTCAACAAAATTTCAATCATTTTCAATGAAATTTCTGTCTCCAAATTAAGTTTCAAGTGTTTGAGAATAGCAAAGAGAGTATAGAAAGTTGCAATTTGAGGTAAATTTCCATTATTTCATCATACATTTTCTGCATTGGAGCTTATTTGTTGAAGAAGAAAACATTTTCGCTTCGGATATGAATTTCCGAATTCAACCTACCATAATTCGGAAGTGCATATCCAAAAATATGTCTGTTACAAAACCAGAATTCTACTTTAACATGATTTATGTTTTTTTGAACATGTTAGGTATGGTACACCCTGATAATATTCTCAAAGTTGTCGTAAAGGTTCCGGACAAGGTCAACGAAGATGATAAGCCGAATGAGGTGAAGGACGTTGATAAAATGAATGATGTTGTGATAGATCATGGACAACAATTTCCAAATGATAAAAGTTTCACCCCTCGTCAACATATGCTTGAATGAGTTCATATGAGAGCTACCAAACTTGGATTTGGCATTGTGATTGAAAGGTCCGACAATAGGACTAGTAAACGACAACCATTTGTTGTGATGACATGCGAGAGAAGTGGAAAATATGTTTTAAAACATCGCAAGATAAAACATGATGACACGAAATCGAGGAAATTCGAGTGTCTGTTTAAATTGCACAGTTATTGTAGAGTGGGTGATCTATGACGTTTAAGTGTCATGTTTGGTATGCATAATTATGCATTGGAGCTCAAGCTACATGGGCATTCAATTGTATGTCAGATTAAGATGGTAGAGAAGGAATTTATTTATGAATTGTCGTTGATAAAAGTTGCACCGAGAAACATACTTGCCAGTTTAAAATGGAATAAACTAGAATGTGTTTTAAATATCAAGTCGGATTACAATTATCATTATAAACAACACAATGCACAAAGAGGTCTGAGACCCAAAATGCAACATTTATTGAAATGTTTGGACAATAACCACTATGTTTCCAGGTACAGAGTTTGTCAGGACAACGTCAGTATTCGTGACATTTTTTGGATTCATCCAGAATGTATCAATTTGTTTAACACATTTTCAACTGTTCTTATGATTGATTCGACGTACAAGACCAACAAGTATAGGCTTCTGCTTCTAGAAATTGTTGGTGTCACCTCTACGGACAAGACATTTTCGATCGGGTTTGATTTTTTAGAATGTGAGAAAGAAGACAGTGTCACTTGGGCATTAGGTATTGTAATATGGTGGGAGAACTAACTTTTTTGGTTTTATCCAAAATATGCGGATAGCAAGAGTCACCATCGAATTTCCTTTTATCCAATAACGAAAGGGTGAAAAGAACAGGAAAGACCTTTTTCGATTTTGAGTTTGGGGGGTAGGTTATGAAAAGGGGAGGTATTAACACCCTTTTCATCCGTAGTTATCTACGGGCTCTTAATCGCTTAGCTCACTTTGAAAGTTTGCTTTTTTTGTGTGTTTGAAAATATTTTGAAATTTGCCAATGTAATGCGAACTTTGTAATGATTCTCGTATTTGTCCTCGAGAATGCATACAAAGGTTCATTTGAAAATATTTATTGAAAATTGTTTGTGTCAGATGTTTTTAAAATGTTTATGAGCAAGCGATTAACACCGGTCTACCTATTCAAGGTCTTTATTGTAATTTTTCCTCCTCCTTTAGATAGTGTTATCCTACCATTAGTTAGTAGGAAGCCCTATTGTTGGATGTAAAGGGACAAACGTGGATCATTGTACACTCATCAAAGGCAACTTGTAAGGACGTTTTAGCAATTATCGTTAAGGAACTAGATCATTTATCGAAGGCAACGTCGAAAGGGTCGTTGAGGGACTATGATCTTTGTATCGAGGGACTTTATTAAAGTGTTCATACGTTCGAGGGACATGACTGTTTTTCCGAGGCAAAAAGGGAGGTTATCCTAGAGGTGCGAGTGTGCAAGGTGTGTTGTGATTCAGTTATTTAAGTCTTGAAATTAGGGTTAGCTATCGTTTGCTTTTAATATTTCCATACAAGACCTAATTACTAACAGTAATAGTAAAATAATAATGAAAAGCAGTAAAGATGCGGAAAATAAATGCGAAAAGATAAACCCTAAGCTATTACACGGTTTTGGGAGAGTTACAAAAGTAATAAAAATATGGGAAAAGTGTTGAATCCACGCCCTTTTCTCTTTCCACCAAGACCTTCACCACTAGGCCAGGCGCGCGCCTGTGTTTGAGAAGGACAACCAACGCGCTACGTATGTTATCCTGTAAAACATGGAAAATTATGAAAAACATCAAAATACCAAAAGCAGGGATCAAAACCGTGCCCTTGCATAGTAAAGTCTTATCACGCACGTTTTAACCACTAGAGTGGTGATACATCCATTGTTTAAACTAAAACAAAATATATAATATAAAACAAAACGCATGAACCAGAGAGGAGCCGGAGCCCTAGCTCCGGTCGTCTTCTCCGGTGGCTTCTTTTCTTCCAACCTGCAAAATAAACAGTACGAGAGATCCAAGGGGACCCTACCCCCCTAAATCAAGGCACGTGAATTCATTGGAATGGTTATTTTGGGCTGAAACGCATTGGTTTGGGAGATATGCCAAAAATATCTCAAATCAGTGTGAACATGGTAGTTCATGATTCCAATAGCATGGGATTCATACGATTGACTATTCCTGCACCGGGACATCTTAGAAACATATTAGTGGAGTTAACACTTGTTAAAACACAATAAAAACAAATATATAAAAAATCATGCATGAACCAAAACGTCAAGGAGTGCATGAGGGTTTCAGGCCCTTTGGTCCTTCAAAGATGTTCCATTCTTACCCTGCAGTGTGGCTGGAAGTGAGTTGGATGACTGGATTGCGTAGAAAGGAGTTGTAATTAGGGTTTACAAATTGCCCTAGTTTTGGAGAATTTGTGGTTTTTGGGATGACTTTGGCTGCAAGGTTTTTCGTTTCCTTCATGTTTGAATTGAAGTGAATATATAGCTTGCAATTAGGTCAAAGGATCATGGGCTTGGACTTGTGTAAATAAGCCTAGTTTTTTTTTTGACTTTTTAAATAATAAAAATAAAAAATAAATATAATAAACCAAAGGGAGGTGTATGAACAAATATTGAGGTTCACTATAAGCTATAAAGCACGTTTGGACTTTGAAACAATAGCCCACTAGCCCAAAAATTCAAGTTTGCTCAATTTAAACTTCATGCATTTGCTCAAAATTTCCCAACTTGCACTAGTCATAACTTTATCAATTTTTATCGTTTGTTGGTGATCTTGACCTTTTTGGAAAGATCAAGATGTCCTATACAATCTCTATGTTGACCATTTTTTCATTTGAAGACTTTATCTTGATGTAAGTTGTCTTGACAAAAAGTGTCATTTTGTTGACTTTTGAAATGACCTATAATATATTGGCCCATATCTCTCAAATGAAGCATTTTTTGGACTTGATCTTAGAGAGGAAGAGTTGTATAGAATTGAATTTCATTTAAAATGAGCTTTGGTTGAGGAAAATCTGATGAAGCATGTGAAAGTTATGCATGGTCAAAGGTCAGTTGACTTCTCCTTAAGAAATCCTAATTTGGTAACTTTTGACTTTGGATGATTTAAGAGTTTTCCTGGATGAATCATGATCAAACCTTGATCAAATGATGAATATGACTTCAAAATCTTGAAGTTTGACTGTATGTTAACCACAATTGACTTTTTGCCCAATACAATTGATTTTCAGTCATCTAAGCCATTGACTGAGCAAACTTGTGATGCAAAGCATGAAACTTGGTATGAGCATTCTTGGAGACATATAATGAACCATGGAAACCACTTGAGGCCTCATAAACCCAAACTTCCTTGAGAAAAATGAAAACCTGGTTGCAAGTCCATTGCTTAGGAGGAGAATTTGTTTGATCAATTCTTGAGCAACCTTGAACATTTAAGAACCATAGGATATTGTCTTGAATAAAAGGGAGGGAAAATTTTGGGGTACAAAAGTTGCCCATGTTCAATATTCTTAAACCTGAAGAGTTAGATTGGTATGTCTGCCATTCGTGGTCTTAAGGTAGAAGAGGATTGAACATTTAAGTGCCTAGAAATTTACACTCGTTTGTGCCGGAGGCAACACTGTTGGTTGATAATATTGCTTAAATGAGCTTAAAGATGACATTCGGAAAGATGAAGGCACGTCAATGAAGATGGGTTTATAGATGCAATCCAAGGTAATTGTTGATAAAAGTATCAGAAGAGTCTATGCTTTGACTGCATCTGAAGAATGCTTTCCAGGATGAACCTCTGGGGAAGGTGCTTAAGTAGCTGCTTATCAGATTTAGTTTCTGAGGGAAATGCTTGTCAAAATTCAATATCTGAGGGAAGTGTTCTTCAAATTTAATCTCTGAGGTAAATGCTCGTCATGAAGATAGTCGCCTCTTCCTGTTTCGAGAATTGATCTATAGTATATCTTTGTTGGTAAACCCGTCCTATTTCTGGAATTCATACCACCTGGCCATGTCGACAGTTTCCCCGTCCTATTTTGGGAGTTAATCTTTTCCTGATTATATAAATAGTTCCCCCGTCCTATTTCAGGAGTTAATCTAGGACTTGCTTTTTGTTGACGAACCCGTCT